GTCTGTGTCCATGGGTTATGCTTATATGCATATAAGTTCTTTTCTAAAATGTTTATTGTTGAGAGTATTACAGATGTCCTCCTTTTATTCCCTCCATATCACCCCTCCACCCAGTTCCTACCCCACCCCAGGCCTTAATATAAAATCTACCCTCTTAACAGATGTTCAGGTGCAGGCACTATGGTGCATAACTAAAACTTTATACACATTGAACAACGAAGGAATCAAAGGCTATCACTTCACAAAAAATCAATGAAATTCCAAGGAAGATAGCAAGGAAGAACAGGAGTGGAATACCTACAAGAAAGACAAGATACTATTAACAAAATGGCCAGAGAGGGCCCTTTCCTGTCCATAATTAAATTAAATGTAAATGGATTACATTACCCAATCAAAATGTAATATCCTCTGATGAGGAAGAGCAAAAAATAAAAATAAATAAAAAAGGAGTCACAGATACAAAGAAGGCCGTTAAGGATGATAAAAGTATCGATTCCCAAGTGGGAACAAGGCCACAGGAAGGGGTTTCTGTTAACAGGACGTTCACAGAAAGAAAAGCCTCTCTTTTCTCTGGTTCCTGAAAGCTGGGCCCAGATCCGACCCGACAGCTCACAGTTTAACTCTAGGCAAACTCAGCCTCCCCGACTGTCTTTCTTTTTTTTAAAATATATTTTATTGATTTCAGAGAGGAAGGGAGAGGGAGAGAGAGACAGAAACATCAATGAGGAGAGAGAATCATTGATCAGCTGCCTCCTGCACGCCTCACACTGGGGATAGAGCCCACATCCCACACATGTGCCCTGTTCTGGAATTGAACCCTGACCTCCTGGTTCATAGGTTGACGCTCAATCACTGAGCCACAAGCTTCACCGGCTTCCTTTTGTGAGAGGATCTTTCTGGAACACATGGGCCTCGGAAACCGGCCTAGGGCATGTACCGGGGTCCTGAGTCAGCCCTGTGTGTGGACACTGGTCGCTTTGCCATGCCCTCGCCAGCCACCACGGCCACGCCCCACACCACCCCCCTGGATCCGAATGGCAGCACCTGTGCCCAATGTCCTGTAATGACCCCGGGAGGCGGATCTTCTTGTCACCGCCCCCATCACTGGGACGGGCAGCTCGGGGTCCACACCAGTGACCAGCAGCAGGTGTCCCAATTCTCCAGAACCCTGGGCGTACAAGTGGGAGTGGACTCTACGGGCAAATACCCACTGGCCTTGATACTCTCAGAGTTTCACCAAAGTTCGAGATGGGGTGAGCCACCCAGTGCTTCTAGGGCAAACGTAAGCAGCACCCACAGCTCACACAGCGGGCACCAGCAGGCTGGGCACCGTGGGGAAGAAGCCGGGTGCAAGGAGCCGGGTTGACCATCAGATTTCCCTGGGGAGGGACCAGAGGACACGTCCTACCCCAAGGCTGTGGCCCCTGATGTTTTGCACAGTGGCCATGGGCTCCTCCTGCCCTGTTCCCTGCCCCGTGCCCTTCCCTGTGGGAGGCAAGGTCACTCTCTTCCAGGGAACCCAGAGCCCACAGGCTGCCTGACCACCTCTGTGCGGAGGGCTGCAGAAGGACCACCCCCAGACCTTGAGGGCAGGACCTCCGCAGACATGGCCCTGGCACCGTGCAGCAGAGCCGCGGGGAGCCCGCCCCTCCCGGCCCCGGCCCTGCACCACAGGCGGAGCCTTCGAACCCCTCACTGAGGCTCCTGTGCACCCCTGGACCAGGATCTGGGACTTGGGAAGAAACCCCAAACCTTGGGAAGTGGCATGAGGACTGGACTGCAGGACAGGCGGTGGGGCCCAGGGGACTGTTGGCCGACACATAACTGGACGGGTGACCAGGGCACCTGGGCACTGGGCCTGCACATGCTCTGCCGGCCTGAAGGGCACAAGCCCTGCCCACGGACCCCTCGAAAGAAGACTTCCTGGCCCCCAGCACTTCAGGGGTGGGGCCTTTGGTGCCTCCAACACCCAAGCCAAGGCCAGACCTCAGACTTGCAGGACGACCGAGCTGCGTGTGGCCCCAGATGCAGACACTGAGGTCCAAGTCCCTTGCGGTGGGTCCGAGCCCTCAGAGCGGTGGAGGGCTGCACGCAGTCTGAGCCAGAGGGACATCTTCGGGCCCCGGTGACCACCGTGAACTCTGTCCTTGCGCATCTGAGCCTGGAGGGCCGCTTCCCTCTGACCGTGGTCAGCACCATCCTTTGGTCAATGATCAGGCCACGATGGAGCCAGAGAGGGAAGGAGGGCAGAGGCAGGGCCCTGAGGATGGCTGGCTCCTGGTAGCCACCCCAGTGGGTGGATAGGGAGCCTGGGCTGGGCTGCAGACTGTGACCTGGTGGCCTGTGCCCACACCCACGCTGCCGGGGCAGGGAGAGGTGCCAACAAGGCTGGGGAAGCCAGGGGCCTGAGAGAGAGCCCGGCCCCGTGGGGGGCAGAGCACATGACAGCGGGTTCTCACTCTGTCCCCTGGGCCCTGGATGCCCGCCTCACCCCACCCCACACACCCACGTGAGGGGCCCTCTGCTGCGTCTGGACTCCCCCAGGCCCCTTGACAGAGAAACCACCCAGAAAAAAGGGAACTTCGGGAAGCGAGCCCTGCACCAGTTTCAATCCCGTTCTTAGTCTTCGCAGGGCTGGGGCGGGGTTGGGGGGCAGGGGAGTTCACGTCTCAGGGGCCCAGCTACCAATGCCTCGGTCGTGGGGCTGTGGGCACAGCCACAGCCACCAGGAGCCACATGCAGTGGGGGCCAAGGCAGCCAGGTCGGGGGCACTGCCTCCCCAGCCCCTGCCCGTGGTGAGTGGGGTACCCACAGAGCAGGGCCGACGGGGGGAGAATGGAACTGGCCCCGGGAGCTGAGAGGAGACCAGGCCCTCAGGGCCCCACAGAGTGACCTGAGCAGCTGGGCCAGGGCCTGAGAGAAACGCAACGAGCGGGAGGGCAGGAGCCCAGGGCTGCCCGGGCCTAGGGCAGGGCTGGGGCAGCCATGGCAGGACCACGCCCAGATGCACAGTGGTCTGAGCTGGGGAAACAAGGAGGTGGCTGGCGTGGTGCAGCGGAGGGAGAGGACACCCAGGTGGCCTGAGGGGCCTGTCCAGGCCAATGTGCTGAATCAGAGGCGGAGCCGGCAGCTCCATGGCTGTGGGCAGGTGACAGGGCCCAGGGCTCAGGTCCAGCAGCTGCTGAGCACAGGCAGCTGACCAGCTACTGGAAAGAGCAAAGGTACAGAGGGGCTCCCAGTGGGGAGGGTGAAGAAGGGTCTGCTATGGGGCAGGGCAGGGTGGGCAGAGGTTGTAGGGACAAGCTGGACAGAGAGAGGGCGGGCAGCTGGAGGCTCCAGGGAGCAAAGCCGAGAGCGGCCAGGAAGGAATGAGACCAGGAGTGGAGCTGCTGGGCTGAGTGCTCTGGGCTTGGCGGCAGCTGTGGGGAGACACTCAGCGCAGGTGGAGCTCATTGACTTGTAGGGAGGGGATCTTAGGGGAGAAGGGGCAGGGGCTGCGGCAGGAAATTTATGGACAACAATGCAGGTGAACAGGGGGCAGGCAGGAGGGCAGAAGCTGCCCAGGAGCTGGGTGGGAGCTGGCAGAGCTATGCAAGTGAGCAGGGGGCAGGCGGGAGGGCAGGAGCTACCCAGAGGCTGGGGAGCTGGGGGAGCTATGCAGGTGAGCAGGGGGCAGGCAGGAGGGCAGGGAGCTGCCCAGGAGCTAGGTGGGAGCTGGCAGAGCTATGCAGGTGAGCAGGGGCCAGGCGGGAGGGCAGGGAACTGCCTAGGAGCTAGGTGGGAGCTGGCAGAGCTATGCAGGTGAGCAAGGGGCAGACGGGAGGGTAGGGAGCTGCCCAGGAGCTGGGTGGGAGCTGGCAGAGCTATGCAGGTGAGCAGGGGGCAGGCGGGAGGGTAAGGAGCTGCCCAGGAGCTGGATGGGAGCTGGCAGAGCTATGCAGGTGAGCAGGGGGCAGGCGGGAGGGCAGGAGCTACCCAGAGGCTGGGGAGCTGGGGGAGCTATGCAGGTGAGCAGGGGGCAGGCGGGAGGGCAGGGAGCTGCCTAGGAGCTAGGTGGGAGCTGGCAGAGCTATGCAGGTGAGCAAGGGGCAGACGGGAGGGTAGGGAGCTGCCCAGGAGCTGGATGGGAGCTGGCAGAGCTATGCAGGTGAGCAGGGGGCAGGCGGGAGGGCAGGAGCTGCCCAGGAGCTGGGGAAGCTAGTAGAGCTATGCAGTGAGCAGGGGGCAGGTGGGAGGGCAGGAGCTGCCCAGGAGCTGAGGGAGCTGGCAGAGCTATGCAGGTGAGCAGGGGGCGGGTACGAGGGGAGTGGGGCAAGGAGGTGGGGGTGGTGGCATAGCTGGAGGACATAGGAGGAGGTGGGGGTTGGGAGAAAAGGCGCGATGAAAATAAGGTAGAGCAGTGCCCTCAGGGCCCCACGTGGGCCCATCCAACTTGGTCCCCCAGGTCCCCCCAGAAAGGACCAGGAAGCTGTGAGCGAACCCAACAGGGAGCTGCCAGTCCCAGAACCCAGCGTCCATGAGTGACAGCCCTGCAAGGGTCCAGGCCTGAAGCATGTGCAGGGTGGCACCTGCCTGCACATTGGCTGATGGAGCTGTGCCCCACCTCCCCAGGACAGTGCTGAACACCCCGACTGAGACCAAAGTCCCCGACAGGCGGGTCCCAAGCAGCAGAGCCCTAGGAGGCAGGAGTTGGGGAAAGGAAGGGCTGACCTCACTGCTGCTCCGGTGACGGCACACCAGTCCAGCCATGCTGTGCCGGCCCTGCCGGGCAGGTGGGGCCCTCAGGCCCATCATCCTGAACTGGGTACCCCCCACCCCCAGTGGCTCCATGGGGTGGGTTAGAACAGGAGATGCCTCGAGCAAGGGGATCGGGGTTTGTCTGGGCCTCCCCTTCAGGGCTCTGCCAGGCCCCCCAGGACCAGGCCTCTCTCTCCCATGCTGCCCTGTGCCCTGGGCAGTGCCTGGCCTCAGAAGCAACACCTGTCTGTCTTCCAGATGTGCCTGCTGTGCTCCCCATGGTCCTGGAGTGCAAGGCCCCAAAAGAAGGCGGGTCCGTGACCCTGGCCTGCTTGGTGACGGGGTCCAACACAGCCACCTGGGACATAGGAGCAGAGAAGCTGCCTGCAAAAGCCTCTGTGATGGGACACTTTGAGAAGATGGGACACTTAGGGGAGACGGTCCCCTACCTCTTCTACCAAACCTTCGTCTGGAAGCCTGTCCCATACAGCTGCAGCACCAAGCACATGTCCAAGACCTTCCAGTGGCCAGGTGGGTGACCTCCAGCATGTCCCAGCATCTTCCAGGGCCTGACCTCAAGGAACAAAGCAGGGACTGGGCCCCAATGGGCACCCAGCCACCCCTCAGAGCAGCTCGCTCCCTACCCCCACTCTGCCCTCAGCCGCTCCAGCTCCAGCATTCGAACCCAGTCCCTTCCACCCCTGTCCCCAGAGTGCTGGAGGCAGCAGCTCAACCCCGGCCCCTCCCTACCACCTCCCCTACCCTACCCATGTCTTCCTGTCCACCCAGCAGCCTCTCCCCCGTGCGACCACAATGCTCACTGACCTCAGCTGCCCACTGACCCTCTGATTTCAGCATCTTGGAAAACCCGGAAGGACGAGGCTGAGCTGACCACCTCGGTGACCCACACGTCACCTTTCTCAGAGAAACTCACCCCAAACACCACCACTACCGGAGGCCCAGGTGAGGAGCCCCTCTGCCAGCATGCCCCTACCCGCCTGTCCATGCCTTCGGCTGCCTCCTTCAGGCAGCCCGCCATGACTTCTCCTGGGGAGTCTTCAAGGCCATATTTCTGGTAAGAAAATGACGGGGGCCCTGGAATTTTCGGTTACTGGGTAACCTAACAAGTGGACAGGCCTGATGACGGAGTGGTCGGCAAGGGTCCCT